AATTAACGAGTAGTCCTCTTGTACGTTGTCAAATAAATTGGTGTAGTATCGCAGTGAGCCTTGTTACACCATTTCTGGTCGACTTAGCACGATCACTGTCAATTAGTACCAACTTTATTTCTTATAACAATTGCTTTTGTGTGTTTTTTTCTCGATTGGCTCAATCCCGTGTCTCGTGTCGGTTTGAGAGAACGATTAGCGTGGATTTCTGAGAAAAGTTCCGAACAGTCATTAGTAGAATGTGTGGCTTACGGGATTTTTTCTTTTTACTTGGAAAATTCGGTGGCCAGCGATAATGAGACAGGATAACGGTAGCCAGTTAGCAGTTTTTAAACTTTTTATTTTTTACTTTTTTAGAGAAGGCACCTCCTAAATTGTTTGTAATTCATATAACGTTAAATATTTTCTCAAATTGAAATCTATAATATACTATAATCACGAATTGAAAATCTGGTGAATTAGAAAATGTTATACTGTACAATAAAAATTTAATAGAGAAAAACATAAAAAGTAAAATACACGCAACAATGTCTTTTCATTATTGAAATTAAAAATACATTTCTTTTTTAACGTCGACAGTGAGTAATCAATTTTTGTCTTCCGTTTGTTGATATACGAGTACTATCCTATCATTGATTCATAGTCTCATTCTTTTATGGGAATAAAAGGAATGAAGAAGGAAAAATGGGAATACTGGATTCTCGGTTGTTGAATAAGGAATATTATAATAATATATAAATATACCTCTTTGCCCTTATGCATAAGCGGAATTCACTTTCCTGATTATACATCTGCATAAGCTTTTGTTTTGGTTTTAAATTCTTAATTTATAAACCCAATTAATCTCTTCACACATATATCCTGCCTAAGTGTGTAACTAATCACGACTTATTTTGTGTTCCTCTAAAACTACAACTTTTCACTATCATTTTACAATCCAAAGTGATCATCTGATTCGAAACTTCCTCTTTAAATGAACATTTCAGAGACTTTGTTTTTATCCCATTAGGCTTTAAATATTTTTCTTTATTATTTGCGGTATTTTTAAGCACTCTAACGTGTATTAATATTATTTATTATAATACTTTATCAGCGTACAATAAACACTACATTTCGCTATTGTAACATTTGCAATTCATTGATTTTTTTGGTGTATATTGAAATCCCCTCGTATATGTAATATATTGAAATCCCCTCATATATGTTAAAAAAAACGAAGAATTTTTTCCACGTTTGTAAGTTCGTATCTTTCAAGTTAAAATACCCAAAGTGTTTTCAATAATTTTATTTGCATTGCTGGATGTTAATGTAAACCGTTTTAGAGTTGTTTATTATTTTAAAGATGTGTACTTTCTCAGCATTTTCTTTTACTGTTTTATTCGAAGTCGCCTTATAATTTTTGTAAGTCGTAGAAATTGAATCTTCTGCCTTTTAATTGCTGTCAAGTGTTTATCTCAAGTTATGTGAACGAATTCTTAATTTCGTCATTCTTACTTGGGTCGTTGTAGGCGCAGGTATGGATCCAAATAGATTCTTACTTGGGTAGTTGTAGGCTCAATTATGGATCCAAATTCATCCATCGAATTTGTGGTTTTCTGTTTTTCTCTTTATGGAAATATGTAGCAGTGAAAAGTATTTTTGTGGCAGTTAATGCTTCAATTAATAGTTTGAATGAGGATTGGAAGAATCGTCGTTTCCATCCTCGTTTTTTTCTCCCTATTTGTCATCCAAGGCTTTTTGGCAGTTTGGAGATGGAGTTGTTCGTTACGCAGAGAGAGTGAAGACCCCAGTTCCAGTAATGGTTTCAGAGGTTCCAGTGGCGTCTGGTTCCACAAATTGTAGTGCAGTTTGTTAGTGAAAAATCCAGGTAACTTTTTGATCAAATTTTAAAGTAAAGACGACAATTTTTTTAAATAAATAATTGCTTTCGTTAAAATTTAAAAATAGTAATATTTAATATTGTAAATTTTGGGTTTTGACTTTAGCTGTTATTTTATTTGTTTTCAGTTTTTAAAATTTAATGTTAACATATGACAGCTAGCGTTATTATTTTCGATATTTATTTGTTTTGTTTGTTTTAAAAAAAGGTTAATCTCTGTGCGGTAACATTTGTAAGTTTTTTGTAGTATCTCTAACTCCTAGAGTTTGTAAATGGATGACATGTAAGTTTTTTTGTATTTTTGTATTTTGCGACTAATGTGGTAATATTTTTGTATTGTCTTTTTTGAGTATTCGTGTATTCTCTATGTTTTGTAACTGTTTGTGGTAAGACACCAATCAATGTTAAATTTTGCTTTTTTAACATTTTGTTTATTTTTTTGAACTAACTCTTTTTTTAGTTTTATTTGAAAAAGATATTTTTTTATGTTTAATAATTATTTCCCTAGTTACAACTAGTGGTTGTAATAGGTATAATTAGGCAAAGTGGCGCCCTATATTAAATTTCTAGAGGTGTTTCCTGTTTCTTTTTATTTTGTTTGTTCCATGAGATTAATGACTCCTTAATTTCATTTTTTTGTAGTTGCCCCATTCCAACCCCCTTATCTTTTACTTATCTACGACCCCAGCTCTCCTAACAAACCTTGAGTGCCGTTTGGACAAGTAGCGATTATTTTGCTTGCCTTATCTCCACCCCCTTAGTTTCAGTCCCCAATTTTCTAGCCCTTGTATTAATACCTCATGTGGTAGGCAAAATATCTTCGTTACACTATTATCTAATCCAATAGTAATGAAAATAGATAAGTATTCAGTCCTGATGTAATTCTATTTTTACATGAAACTTATGTCTCTTCCACATATGTTTTAAGTCTAGTTGATAGTTCATTATATTAACCTCCCACGTTTTTTACATATTCACCGGAAACTCATTACTTATCGAGTATCCACCATAGAACCTCTCAAAATATCCTATCATACGCTTTCTGAGGAGCAATAAATACCATATGAGCATTTGCTTCTTTATCCTTTATTTTTCCATAAGCTGCCTTATAAAGAAAATTGGATCCTGTTGTTAATGAATGGAATTTTTTTCATAAATCCAAATCAATTATAGAACATTTCAGTTTCCTCACGTATTTGTCGATTTGGAAAATACATTTTTGTTATACCAATTCATATTTTGCAATCAAAGAAGTTTTAATTTTAGAAATTATTTCAACTTTTACATGCCTACGCGTTTTACTAATAAAGTAGGCATCATTTTACAATAATTATATCAATGTTTAATATGTTGGAGGTAGAAATATTAATGAAAAGTGGTGTGTATTGTTCGTCAAACTAAGCACGGTGCAAATATTTGCTTGCATTGCTTGGAATCACAGAAGCTATGTAGGTTTTTACCAACAGCATCTATAGAAGTCCCACTAATGCCTTTTTCTCTAATTACTACCACGGGGAGAGCGAAAATGGGATATTGTGCGAGAAAACCTGAGCAACGTAATGGTTGGATCAGGACATATTATTATCATAAATTTAATTATGGGATACCAAAATGATGATGATTTTTAACCATACAGTACCCAGGTACATGTCATGTGCACGTTTGCAAGATATTAACGAAGAAAAATGGAAGCAAAACTTCCAACCTTTGCAAAATTGTTGAAATCCTGATGAAAACACACTTTTTTGGCTATAAATACTAAGAAGACAGAGATGGTCCTCTTCGCCAGAAAAAAAGAATAACGGGCATTACACTTTAAGGATGCTAAACTGCAGTCTAAGCTTTTTTGAAGAGGTGAAATACCTTGGTAGTACTCTTGACAGCAATTTAACATGTAACTCCCACTTAGATGATAGAGCTAAAAAGCTAACTAAAATTGCTTACTTGCGGAGTTATTGCTTAAGTACCAAAAGTGCTACAGGCAACAGCGATCAACGTCAACATCAACGAACTAAACCATTTAGCGGACGGCTTGCCTAAATATAACAGGTGTCATGAAAAGAACAATAACTGCTGCAATTGAGTTGCTCATCAACCCTTTAAACATATATGTCAAATAGGTGGCACTGGTGCCACCTATCATGCCACTATTTTGGATAGCTCCAAAATGGAAGAAGGCTGAGGATGCGGGATATACTACAGATTACTGAACCCAAGAATAAATTGAGGTATGGGAAAAAATGCCAGCGTAGTTTAGACAGAACTGGCTGGTATCTTAATAGCCGCAAAAGATATAACCCGCAAAGGTAGCTCCGAGAAAATCATATTGATCTTCACGGACAACAGACAAAAAAAGAAAGCTACTTACCTTAATTAGATAACGTGTTATATCACGATTCGCAATGGAGTGTCATGAGATAGTAACTCAAGTTTCGGATAGTAATACCATCATTCTAATGCAGTTTAAAGGACATAATGAAAATAAAGACAATCGCATTGCTGACCAACCAGCAAGAAAGCCAGCAGGCTTAGCACTCTTAGCACCTGGTGACATTTTATGGTTGGTTAATTACCACAATCGCGGAAATTGAGAAATGTGACTCTATCACGCAAATTGTGAAAAGATAGGAAGAAAGGCAAGGATATAGACTTGCCAGAGTAACACTAAGGAACCTTGAAAAGTCAGCGTCAAAGAAGTACTTGGATACGACCAGAAAAAACCTACGTTTAACAATTAATTTCTTAACTGGTCCTTGTTAATTAAGCAAACATCTCCACACACTGGAGCTAGTAGACACACATCCATGCAGAAAGTGTGAACGAAGAGATTAAATTGTCAAGCATGCCCTATGTGAATGTCTGGAGTTATTGTCAATATAAGAGCACGCATTCGGCATGCCGTTACCTACACCTGCCCACATAAGGGAGATGTCTCTTGGTGTCTAGTCCACCTTCCTAAAAATGGCAGAAAGGACAATGAGATACTTGACTCGCTCTACCTGTTCTACACATACAGTTACAGAACATGCAATTATTATGTTTGCCAAAATTTAGAAAAGTCATGAGGTAAACGTAGACATCATTATAAAACTGGTTAATAATAAAAAATATACTAGTCAAATTAACACGTTTATTTGATTAATAAAGCTAATTTAAAGATATGTAAAGTACACTATGTAAATGTAAATTATTTTATCGACAAGGTTTTAAGGTACACGTTTTAATCTGAGCTTCTTTCTCTCCAGGGGCACATTCTTTTGACATGCAATGCCGCCATCTTGTTATTTTTCCTACACCACAAGTGACACTACAAGCAGACCATTTTCCCCAATGATCCCAAACTTTAGCATCTTTCTTGGACCTTAAATTATTTAAAGAAATGTCATCAATATATAGAACGTCGTTAAGTGGATCATAATTTTCCTCGTATATTTTTTCTTCCGAAGCAATTTGTTTTAAATCTGCGACAGGATCTAATATTGCCGCTTTTAAATTTAAGCAAAAAACATGTAAGTAAAGCGTTAATAGAAATAGTGACACTAACATTGTGACAACTGTCACAGAAAAATAGATTATTTAATAAATAAGTGTATTTCTTCTTTTTTTTTCAAGTACATGTTTTTAGTTCATTAAGACAATATCTTTCCATTTAAAGAAGGACGATTTGATAAATCCTTTAACATAGCGATGTTTACCTTTTTCTTAAAGTCTTATACATTTTAACTTATTCATTTTTACGAGTACTTTACCATAATGTTTGTTAAAGTGTTTAAAATAAACAGTCCAATTTTGGCACAATGGTAAATTGTGCTTAGTAAGGAGCCATCACATTTTTTTTTATTGAGATGTCATGCTTTCTGTCTTTTGGATGCTTAGTCACTCCCACAGAAGAAACTCTAAATACATATTAATAGCCTAACTTGTGCAAACAAGGGTATTATTTCTTTAAAATACAATTTTAAAGAAAATAAGGTAGTCTAAAACATGTTTAAGCTGTTTTGTTATTTTTTAAACATATACAGGGGATATATTTGTCAAGAATGTAATAAAACTCATAATCACGGTCATTCAAAGTTAAATCTTATGTGTTGTCTGTTTTATGTATTTTCATAAGCACTATAATTTTTTTTAAAGCATATGAAATTCGTGTAAAATATGATAACACAAGAGTTTAACTACTTTAAAATCGAGATCTTCAGCCATGCCATTGCTTTCTGCGGTAAAGCAGACACTACCTTTGAGAATGAATTTACTGAAATAACTTCTAGTACAGCATAAATCCAATAATTAAGTTGTTAAACGCATGTACAGGCGCATTCAGGTAAATTATGTATCAATGCATACTAGATAAGGGGAACCGACCACTTTAGGTACTCTCAATCGTCTACCGACAATCGAACTTGTACATTTTTGCTTAGAAGGCTAGCATCTTGGTAGCTGAGCTACGAATGCCACATAATTGTATTCACTTTATACGTATAAGCATGAATCAATTCGTTTTAACACACAATCATCACGATTTTTCTGTAATACGGTACAAGTCAGTTACCTTTTACAACTTTGATTTAGAAAAATTTAGGAGTTATATTAATTAGTACTTGTATTTTTGTTTATGGTTTGTATAGAATTTAATCTTCTTATATATTATTATTGTCTTTGAAAGGCCTTTTATGTGCTGCTAGACGTTTGTTAAAAGTTCTACCTGTTTGACCGATGTAGGTTGTAAGTTCAGCAGCCGCCACATTTCAGTTTGTATACACTAGTATATAAGTGCTTGGCTATTTTTGTTGTTGATATCTTGTCTGTATATGTAATCGAGCAGAGGGTACTGGGTTTTTTCTCTGATGGTGGAAATACTAATTTCAGGGCTTTGTTATGTAGTTTTTGATTTAAAATTTTATTTAATGCCTGTTCGTTGTACCTATTGTTTACTGCTATTTGCTTAATGATATATAAGTCTATGAAGTTGTTTTTGACATCGGAATTTCTATTAATCTATGTAACATGGTATGGTAGGCTGCCAATTTATATTGTGTAGAACGGGATGGTGAATTGTGTATAGTCGTGTCAGTATGGATAGGTTTATGAAATTCTGGAAACTCATGTTTGTTTGTAAGTCTCATAATTTTTAAATCTAGAAAATTTATGGATCGATTTTGTTCTGTTTCTATTGTAAATCACTATGGAATGAATTAATATGCAATAAAAATTGTGTAAGTTGCCCGATAGTTTCTGTAATACATACCAGTGCATCGGTTACGTATCTCCACCAACATAAAATCTGTTGGAATACGAGATGTTTTGAAATCTTTGTTTCTAGATGATTCATAAAAATATCTGATAGTTATTGGGCTTAGAGGATTACCCATTATCAAGTAACGGTTGAATTCATCATCCTAATATTCTTACATTGTTAATATTAAAAACCAATAAGGACATACAGTGAAACAATCCTCATAACATTCTGCTACTACGATACCAAGTTATATTTAAATAATATAGAGTAAATGTGTGTATGTTTAAAAATAAATAAAGTAATTTATTAAATCACAAAAGATAAGAATAAGCAAGAGCTGTAGAATAGTTAATGAATTTTATTCATTAACTATATAAATATTTAAACATATAAATATTTCTTAGTATCTGCATATGAATATCTTGTTTAATATAATTTATGACACAAGAAAGTTTTACTGAGATTACTAAACTTCAAAAGCAGCTATTTATATTGGAAATTTTATATGAAATCACAAACCGCCTTTTTCAATAATAATATCCAATCAACTTTTATGACAACTTGCACTCAATAAAAAACCAGTGAATACAGGTCGCGTAAACCAGGATTACTTTATATTATCTTCGATTTACTACAGCTGCAATGCTACGATTGGGATTATATAGCTGATATGCGCAGAATGTCTTTACAATTTAATATAACTCGTAAGTATAGCTTACAGTTCCGCCATAATAATTTCAATAGCATTAGGCCTAATATTGGAAGACGATGATACAATGTAAAACAATCACCGATATAAGTATTTTGTAAGCCTCAGTTTTGACACAAATGACGTTCTTGTGCGTCATTAAAGGGTGTTTTAAAAGTTTATTGCGTGAGGTATGAATAGAATTATTGTCCTTTTGCAAATCATTTTGTTCTCACAAATGAAAGAGAAAACTTAAACATCTTCAGGCGAGCTTGTTTAATTCATTTACTATTTTGAGTTTAAAATGTCGAAAATAGCTAGTGTCGCTATTTGGATTAAACCCTACTAAGAGCTATCTGTGAATATATTATTCAAGCATTATTGTTCAGTTTGTAGCAAAATTGTAAGTTTGAAAAATAAGGCAATTATATCGAGCACAAGTTTAATTAAATCTTGCCTAAGTACTTTCGCTTAATATAGCATCTTAGGGGCATTTCGTCAAATATGGGCTATCCAGCAAGCGTAGAATGTGATGAATATGAATGATAATATAAAATTGTACAAACACTACACTAAAACAAGGACAAACAGTTTAAAATAAGTTAAAATATTTCTACGCTCTACATTCTTTGGCGGTATCAGGAGAGAGCCAGAGAGCCAAAAAACTAGTAATATTTCTAATAAAGTTTTAATAATTGCTGTTGGATGGTGTGAAGAAAAGGTGAAGGAATAGGGATTCCTGGTCCATACGATACAGGTCGTTTACAGGAAGGTAATTCAGGATATTGAATTTTGTGTTTATTTTTTGAATTGAAACCCTTGATATCGTAGGAGCAAAACTTGCAGCCCTCTCCATGGTTTTTGGATTCCCTTTATAGCATAGGAATGCAGGAGGGTAAAGAGTTACGTGTACCTCTATTGTCCATTTTCTCAGTTGTTCGACACACTGAAAGCACACTTTGTGTGGAGCCCAAGGTTTGTCCTGAACACCAAGCTTTACACCGTAGTAAGCGTGATAGGCTGTCTATATAAAATCTGTTAAGTTTCGTTGATGCTTTCCTATTGTTAAATCACCACACACGTGACAACATATATCAGGACTGTTCTCACACTTTCTTAATAACATTATGGCACGATAAACATTCATAAAACAAAATATAACTCGATGCTACAAACAACTGACTCTATTTGACGGCATCCTCAGTGTTGCCATTTAAATTAAATTATTATAGTGTATAAAAATATTTTTTTCAAAATATAGGCATTTTCAAGAAATAATTTTAATGCAATTTACTAAATATCAATAAGGTACTTGTTTGCGCTAGTAAATATATAATATCAAGATTTTTCCAATTTTGTGAAAAATTTTGACGTGATGGGCAGTATTGCCATTTAAATGAAATTAACATAATAATGTATTAAAATATTTTCTAACGGTCTATCTAGTATTTTAAAGAAATAAGTTTATTGCAATTTACGACATATTAATAAGGTATTTGTTTGCGCGAGTACATAATATATCACAAGGTTTTTTTAATTTTGTAAAAAATTTTGACCTGATGGGCTTAAACCGAATTCATATTCAGAATCAGCTTACCCGTAATAGCTAAGGACACATAATATGTCAAAATCAAAACACCAAAAATCATGTCGGTCTGTGTTATAAGATGCTATGTGTTCCAATGAAAAATTTCAGAGCGAGTCTTTTATACAACGCACATATATTTTTTTAAATTACCATTCTCGTCTAGTTGAACCTCAATAAATGTAAAGAAAAAACATTTAATAATATCGTAGAAAATTGCTCTTATATTTTTTTTCCATATTACTCTTACTATATTGTCCTTCTATAATTGAATCAGTTATGAACCTTTTTTTATTTGTTTTTAATTCATTATAATTATATAAAGTATTGTTCCAGTTTAATTACTTTTAAATCAAATAAAGTGTAGAATAACTAGGTTTTTGCTAGCACAACTTTTAAATAGTCTTTAGAGTTGAATATACTTTAAAGTATTTCAAGACCTTTTTACCTCGATTTTATTATTCCTTAGTCTCATCGCATCATTCGATGATCATAACTCACCACAATAAATACATCGAAAACATAGATCTTCGAGTGGCCATTGTCTCAAGAGCCCCATGGTCACTCTTTACTGCTTTGAAAATCTTCTAGAGATCGTTATCACATTTTACGGAATATTGTTTTCACTTCAGCATTTTATAATGTGCCATTTTAGCTACTTTATCAGTTAAATATATCGGTTGCATTATTTAAAATTTGTCGGTTGGTGTGACAAATAGTTTAAATTTGGAAGACAAAAATAATAATGGAATATGAAGGTAAAGATATAATTGTACATTATAGAAATTGTGCAAACATGAGAATCACCGTAAAATATTATAATAGCGAGTTAATGCGACCTAAATGAGATTAATAGGTATATCATTTGAGGTTATTTAAGATATTAGTTTCATAGGGACATAAGTCAAAAGAGAGTTTTGAGAAAATCGCAATCAAAGATTTCATAAGCGTGTTAAAAATCAGATTTCAATAATCAAAATTTTCTTTCCTTACCATAATATGTGTAACATACATAATAGATTTGTTCATTAAAATACTTTTT